GCACGCACGCACGCACGCACGCACGCACGCACGCACGCACGCACGCACGCACGCACGCACGCACGCACGCGCGCACGCACGCACGCGCGCGCGCATCCACGCACGCACGCACGCACCCACACACACACACTCTCACATTCACACTCACACTCATATATACTCACACTCACACTCACACTCACACTCACACACACACACTCACATTTACCTGGCCACGCCCACGCCCACACCAACACCAACGCCCACGCGTGACGCGGCTGCGCAAAGAAAGGAACTTGAGGCTTTCTAATTTCGGAGCGGTTCCGAGCTTCCGAAGCCCGGGGACCGAGGGCCCTAGAACGGGCGGGCTGCGTTTTTACGTGGCTCCCGGGGCTGCCTGCAACCAGGGCCCTTGGAGGCGGGGGAGCCGTCCTTGCTTGGCGTCATTCTGAACTCTGGACCCTTCTGTGCCAAGCACACAGTCTGATTCATTTTCTGACAAGTTGGCCACCACATTTGCCACGACAGAATTTTGGGGCAGGCTGTGTTTGGTGGGCTAGTCAGGTCAGGGATTCAGCCTGTTCATCGCGTGGGTCCGTCCCAACAACCGAATAGCACAGAGATGTAGGTGTAAGAAGGGACATATTCCGGAAAGAGTGAGATGCTTGCATTGCCATTTTCCCATGGTCGGATCGGAGCTTACATGGCTCGAGACCCATGTGCGCAGGCTGGGTTGGCCCAACAGGAAAGGGGCTTCAGTCTTCAGTCTTCGCGCAAGGCCGCTCGGAAGCGCCAGAGCACTTTCGGGTGACTGGTTGAAGGGATTCTAGACTTCCCATTGCGCTCAGCACGTGCATCCATGCGTTTTGCTTCCTGTCCGGCATGCAGCGGCTGCGAATTTTGCGACTGATGTCCCACGTCCTTACGCGGGGACCATCATGTCGTCTAAGGAACTTATGGCTTACAGTTCACTCGCCCATCGCCCGAACAGCCTCAAAGATGAAAGCGCGACATGCAGTTGATTCAGCTTGCACTGAGATCAAGCACCGCAAAGCTAGCTCATCACCGTCTTTTTGTTTTCAGTGTCTCTTCAAACATCTCGCTTGCCTCCTTGGCTTTCATACTCATTCTGCTGCTCCAGGCGTGGCCTTTTTGGAACACCCAGAGCTGCTGGTTTTCTCTCCTTCGTCCAAAGCAACTGTGTCACAAGCTCTGGCTTTCAGCTCCATCCTGAAGCTGTCCGGCCTCATCAGTAGCTTTGACTTCCTGATTCCACGCCTTTCACACCCTTCTTGCAGCTCCTTCAAGATCTGCGCGCTGGAGCCTCCGCATCTTCAATGGTCAGGTCCATGACCACTAAAAGTAGCCTGACAAGTCTCTGCCACCCCCGGATCATTGTAGACGCCTCATCACCATCCCTCATCACACATCATCTCCCACCATCAGCGCTGCGTAGCTCTCAGCCGACGATTCTGCTCTTGTCTGCGCATCTTTCGATCTGCTGCAGCTGCTCTGCCATCTTGCCGTAGGTCCTACTCACAACCTCAAAGAAGATCTGTGCGTAGATCCTATTCTCAAGCCATGCTCCTTCCCATGGCTGAGAGCCTGCAAGGATCACACATGCTGCGGGTATGACTGAAATGGTCCCTCCTTCTGACAGTATCTGTGCGTTGCGGGGAGCGTGCTTCTACGGGATTTTGTTGGTGGATCCGCAGAAAAACTGCGACCATGTGTTCCAAAGTTGTTTTGGTTGTAAACTATTAGCCATTTTGGATCCTGTCGGTTGTTTTCAAAGGGAAGCTAAACCGGAACCAACCAGCTTGAGGGTTCGCTTCGCGAAGCGGCGCTCTAAAAACATGACGCGAGGCTCGGTCCAGCATCCAGACAGTCTGTAGTCAGACGTATTTGTGCTATGACAGTGTATTGTGTGCAATGTTGCGTGTGTGGTGGCAGACACCAGGCAATATTGATGTTGAGCGGTAGGTAGTTGTCCGTATGTTGGCCACGTGTGACGCCCAAAGCGTTTCCTAGCATAAAGTGAATTCCTCAGGGATCGTCGAGACAAGGCACACCCGCCTCAGCAAAAACAGCGAGCAGGTTTAATATAAATGTAGCTTCTGTCATTTTTGGCACTCGTACCACCTTTGTCTAGTTCCTCTTCTCTTAAAGCCTCACTCCCAAATGTCCGTGCAACACCCCTTCATAATCTGAATGCTTGCAAACTTGGCTTCAAGTGCAACTAGAAGTTAACAACTGCAACTAGCAGTTAAACAACGGCACTGGCAGTTAAACAACTGCAACTAGCACTTAAACAACATAATTCCCTTAATGCTTCTGGAGGACCAGGCGTCTATAAGTATGGTTGATTCTTTGCACTGCCTACTCATCGCTTCAATGCCTTCTGTCCGACTGCTGATGTTTTGGCGCTTACCTGATGTGTGTTGAACGTGTTCAAGAGTTCCCCATGCACACGCTAAGGTTGACCGCCAGCATCCCATTGGCCAGCGCAGGGGCCTAGGTACCCTCTCACGGTTCCGGTTCTTTAGCCGGATCGTGAGCGGGTGCATGCCGGCCGTGCCGGCAAGCTCGGGCGTTGGCCACGGGCGAAGCAGCGGTTCAGCCGAGCGGAAGCCTTGGGCGTGTCGAGAACAAATGGGCCCATCAGACATGTCAGAGCATGGCTTGTTTTGCGGCGCAGCAGAAAAGCTTAAGCAATGCTACTTGGGTTTCGTTGAGGTTCCCAAGGCAAGCCATGAGAAAGACTTCAGTGACACACACACACACACGCCTTGGCCAAACTTGTCTCACGCTAGCAGAACGCGCGGGCAGAATGGAGGGCAGAAGCCTTGGGCGTGTCGAGAATTCATGGGCCCATCAGACAAAGCATGGCTTGTCTTGAGGAATCTGTTCATTGCAGGCACATCAGATGAGCTTAAGCAAGCAGACGCGCGATGCGGCATCATGCTACTTACATATCATTGAGGTCCGAGGCAAGCCATGAGAAAGACTTCAGTAACACACACACACACACACGCCTTGGCCAAACTTGTCTCACGCTAGCAGAACGCGCGGGCAGAATGGAGGGCAGAAGCCTTGGGCGTGTCGAGAACTCATGGGCCCATCAGACAAAGCATGGCTTGTCTTGAGGAGTCTGTTCATTGCAGGCACATCAGATGAGCTTAAACAAGCAGACGCACGATGTGGCATCATGCTACTTAGATATCATTGAGGTTCCCGAGGCAAGCCATGAGAAAGACTTCAGTGACGCATACACGCCTTGGCCAAACTTGTCTCACGCTAGCAGAACGCGCGGGCAGAATGGAGGGCAGAAGCCTTGGGCGTGTACCGAGAACTCATAAACCCATCAGACAAACATGGCTTGTCTTGAGGAATCTGTTCATTGCAGGCACATCAGATGAGCTTAAGCAAGCAGACGCACGACGCGGCATCATGCTACTTACATATCATTGAGGTTCCCGAGGCAAGCCATGAGAAAGACTTCAGTGACGCATACACGCCTTGGCCTAAGTTGTCTCACGCTAGCAGAGCGCGCGGGCAGAATGGAGGGCAGAAGCCTCGGGCGTGTCGAGAACTCATGGGCCCATCAGACAAAACATGGCTTGTCTTGAGGAGTCTGTTCATTGCAGGCACATCAGATGAGCTTAAGCAAGCAGACGCACGATGTGGCATCATGCTACTTAGATATCATTGAGGTTCCCGAGGCAAGCCATGAGAAAGACTTCAGTGACGCATACACGCCTTGGCCAAACTTGTCTCACGCTAGCAGAACGCGCGGGCAGAATGGAGGGCAGAAGCCTTGGGCGTGTACCGAGAACTCATAAACCCATCAGACAAACATGGCTTGTCTTGAGGAATCTGTTCATTGCAGGCACATCAGATGAGCTTAAGCAAGCAGACGCACGACGCGGCATCATGCTACTTACATATCATTGAGGTTCCCGAGGCAAGCCATGAGAAAGACTTCAGTGACGCATACACGCCTTGGCCTAAGTTGTCTCACGCTAGCAGAGCGCGCGGGCAGAATGGAGGGCAGAAGCCTCGGGCGTGTCGAGAACTCATGGGCCCATCAGACAAAACATGGCTTGTCTTGAGGAATCTGTTCATTGCAGGCACATCAGATGAGCTTAAGCAAGCAGACACACGATGTGGCATCATGCTACTTAGATATCATTGAGGTTCCCGAGGCAAGCCATGAGAAAGACTTCAGTGACGCATACACGCCTTGGCCTAACTTGTCTCACGCTAGCAGAACGCGCGGGCAGAATGGAGGGCAGAAGCCTTGGGCGTGTACCGAGAACTCATGGGCCCATCAGACAAAGCATGGCTTGTCTTGAGGAATCTGTTCATTGCAGGCACATCAGATGAGCGTAAACAAGCAGACACACGATGTGTCATTATGCTACCCGGATTTCATTGAGGTTCCCGAGGCAAGCCATACAAAAACTTCAGTGACGCATACACGCCTTGGCCAAACTTGTCTCACGCTAGCAGAAAGCGCGGGCAGAATGGAGGGCAGAAGCCTTGGGCGTGTCGAGAACTCATGGCCCCCCACAAACATGATGGCATGTCGGAGCGTGGTTTGTTCTGAGGAATCTGTTCATTGCAGGCGCATCAGATGTGTTTATTAAACCGAACACAGATTCACAGTATAGGATTCTGCCGGTTCGATGTGATTAAGGTTCCTGAGGCAAGCTATGAAAAAAACTGCAGCAGAGCGTGATTGATTAATGCATACGCGCCTTCGGCCTCTGCTTCTTCGACGAAGCCTGTTTGGACTGGTCAGCAGCGGCCGTGGGCCCAGGTGACCTAATTAAGTGCTGGATGCAAAACGCACGGGCAGACCCGCTTTTTCATCAAGAAATGCTTCCTGCGCTTCCAGAAAGCGGAGCATTCGACGTGCGAGCGGTCCTTTGTGAACAGCACTGACTTGAATGGCCTGAGTGAATCAGTTAGACACTGGCTGCCGAGCAACGCCCTGTTTTTGAGTCGGGGCTACCGAGGCGCCTGTTGGCCGAGCTGGATGACCCTCACATGCTGAACATGTCGCAGGAGCTCGACGGACACTGGCTTTCATGTGCCGCGCCGTTTGGGCCATTCTGTGGGGTTCTCAAAGTCCGCAATAGGCGCGCGCGCTGGCAGAAACCAAGTTCCAAGCTGTTGAAATTTGATGTGGCCGTAGCTGTTCTGGCGCAGGCTTGGCTCCATGTCTCGTGTTCTTGTTGCTGTTTTGTTGTTCGGGTATAAATGAAACGGAGTGCGGAAGCTTAATAGCAGAGCTGCCAACCGGTATTTGTAGATTTTTGAGAGAATTGCGGAGACCCCACGGTGGTCCACAAATTGAGGAAGAACTATCATCCATCTCACAGCAACACCGACTGCTTTAAGGGGGAAGATCGCAGACATATTTCACATACCTGGCCAGGAGTGCTTTTTGGTATCGGCTTCTTGAGAAAGTCGGTCTTTCTCAAGACCCGGCAATTGGAGGATACTGCCAATCGAACAGTTCTCCCAACCGAAATAATGCTGAGTTCATTCTTTCGATTCTCAGGAGCCAAAAGCCAAGAATGAGAACCAGATGCCTCTTACATGCTGGTGAGACGTTTGAAGAACGGGTGTGTTTTTTGTTTTAGGTCAGTAGGAGGACAGGTGACACAGGTTTCAGTTTGGTTCTTTCCGCCTGATCCATCACATCTTTCCAACAGGACACCTAGGTTAAGCTGCGAATCAAAGCTGCAGGAGGGGCCCTCAGGCGTATTCAGCAAGTGGGGAGCCCCAAGCGAAGTAGAAATCGCGGTTCGAGGAGTTGGCCCTTGGCCAAATTTTTCGGGATGAGCTGGCGCTCTGAGCCTGGAGCTGTTGCCTGTATGTGTCAAAGAAGACTTGTGATCAGATATGTTGTTTTGTTTGGCCGCTGCAAAAGGACTACGCGGCCGCGTGTCGAACCACCGTGTTGCAGGGTCACAATTGCGAGCCCCTGAGCACTGGCAGTTTTACATTTGCACGATTGAATGCAACGGCACGTGGGCGTGTCCTTTTTGGAAGGTACTTTTGTTTTTGTTTTAGAGAGAAGCTCGACGGACTCCAACTACCATATTGGCATGAGCACAGTTGAAGCCTTGACCTGCGTGCCCAAGAATCGGAACATGCGTCCGAGCTCGGAATCGGCATAATGGCGGCTGCCAGGCGATTGCGGGTATTTCTTGAGACACGGATCCATTTCGCAAAGTTCTGCCTTTCAACACGATCCAAAACAGGGTCCGCCGTTTTGAGAATCTCCCATGCTTTGGTGACAGGGTGACAGGGTGACAGGGTGACAGGGTGACAGGGTGACAGGGGACAGGGTGACAGGGTGACAGAACTGATGCCTTCAGCTGGGGAGCTTGCGCTAATTGTTGTTTCTCGACTCCTGTGAGTGAACCTCCTGCGTTCCAAACCAGCTGGAAACATGTGCAGCGTTTCGAAGCATTTTTCTGGCGAACAGATTTCAGGGAGGGTTCAACTGGAGGGTTCCAGAGGTTCGCTGGATACCGCCTGGTTTGATTCAATGCTGTGGGCCGCAGGTGCCACGGCCACGTTTCCTTTGAAAGCCGGATGTGTGTCCTGTTTTAATGGTACCCTTTATTTAGCATGTTTTTACGGGGGGGGGGGGGCAGGGGGAAAGGTCCGAAAATTCGTTTTAAGACCCATGCGAAGACCTACCAAGGCTCGGGCCGAGAGGCGCCGGCCCAAAAGGCGGGGCAGACGGGGGGGGGGAGATCGCGGTGCTGTGGGGTTTGCGCCAGTGCATGAACCCGTGTCAGCTTGGCACAAAGGGCAACGCCAATGTTTGAGGGACTGGTGTTTTCGGATGTTAGTCAGGAATGCTAGCAATGGCCAATGTGGGTCAGCCTCACAATTCGGGAGCCCGGGCAAGCTGTTAGTGAACCCCTAGGGCCCTAGACCCTCCCATGCATGGCCTTTCGCGTCAAGCGCAAACTCCTGGTGGCAGTGTGGGAGCCCAATTAAGCCCTTGTTAGCCCCTAATAAGGCCTTATTTGGGGCTTATTGGGCTCTCTCCCCCCTCCCTCCCCCGCAGCCCCCATGATTTTGGCTTACATGCAACCCCCTAGGCTTTGGCATTTTGAGTTCCGTTGGCCCAGGCCCCAGCGTCAGCACGCCGCTGGTGGACGCCGGGCCTCCGGGGTGTCAGAGATGGGCCGATGGGCCAATCGACGCGTCGGCCTGTGGAAGGTTTTGAGCCATGTCGGTTTTGGTCTTCCTCCATGTTTCTGTTTCAACTGGTCCTTTTTCCAGCCTGAGTGATCTCGTGGCAGCTCATGGCCCGCCAGAAATGGAGAAGACCTTCCCACTTTCGCCGGATATCACAAGTCTCCCGGTCGAAAGTGTTCAAAGGTGAACGGTGGCTCCGAAAAGCTTGTCTTTGGGAGAGATCTTTGGGGGAAGCAGGAGCAAATCTAGCAGGCAACCGAGCGAACGCCGTGATCAACGTTTAGAAGAAGGGGGGAACAACGCCGTGATCAACTTGGTGGGCGAAAGAGGTGCTTCTCAAAAACCGGAGCCCCATCTTGATGCCAACGGTTTCCTTTTAACTCCCCTAGCTTCTTTTTGCTGGGGCCCCTGCGTGCTCATGCACCGCTGCGTCAGTCTAACGATTTGGGCCTCTAAGAACCAGGTGACGACGGTTTTCTTGCCCCGGGCTTTTGGCGCAATCGCATTCGACATACTTATCAATTTGCATCTTCCCGAGTTCCATGTTTCAGATGTAACTAGATGGCAGAACCTTCCCGTTTAGGTTTCATCCTCTTTATGAACAGAAAAGGAGTAGCGTGATCACCTTTGGGCTCAAAGGAATAAGCACACCCAACAATCACGTGAGCCCTTGCCAGCAAAGGTTATGGATAGTTCCAACCTGAACATGACGCGACCGCCCCCTCTCATTCTTCATATTTGGGCAGACCACTTTTTTGCCAGGTTTGGATTGTGGGTATGTGTGAACAAAAGGGAGACCTCCCTGAAAATGGCAAAATGGCGGTGTTCTTCTTGTTTTTTTTTTTGAAAGCAACTTGAAAAGGGTACCCTCCAAAAACACCGTCAAAAAAGGGATACCTCCCTCAAAATGGCGGTGTTTCTCTTGGCTCTTGTCTTTAAACCAGCCTGATAAGGGTACCCTGAACCTCCCTGAAAATGGCGTGGTTTCCCTGTGTACCCTCCAAAACACACACAGCTGATGTCTGAAAATGGCGGTGTTCCTCTTGGTTTCCCTTGAAACCAGCCCGAAAAGGGCGATATACACACACACACCCGATGTAATTTTTGGCCAAGATTTGCGAGTTGGTTTCCCTTGAAAGCAACCTGTAAAGGGTACCTTCCAAAAGCACACCCCTGAAGTAATTCTCGGCCAATGCGAGTGATAACACCTCGAGGCAGCTCCCGTGGCCTTCCGTCCCGCGTTGGGAGCCTTGGAATGGGGCCAGGGGGGGGGAGGGTACCAAGTTTTGTGTTTTGCCTATCGGTTTCGGCGATGGAATTCTCTCGGCTTCCGGTGCCATCACCAATTGGCTCTCGCGGTCTTTTCAGACTAGCCACCATTTCTTCCTTTGTTGTTTCAGAGCCCTGTCAGTTGTGAGAGAGGAGAGAGCTGCATGGTGCAGCCCTCGTTTATCGGTTACAGCGACTGCGTTAAACCTTGATGTTCTTTCTCGTTTAGGCAAATCGTCCGTTTCAGTGTGGGTGAAGGCCGCAAGATGGGTTGGGCAAGTCGTCTCCCTTTGGCTCATCAACACACCACGTCACCACTCAACACGGCACGTCCTGTTCCGTTGCAGAGTGATACTCATTTGTGGCATCCCTTTTTGTGGGTTTCACGGTCTGTCCCCAAGCGGGAGTTTGACCAAGGCTTAGATGGAGATTGGTCAAGGCTAGGGAGAAGCACATCGAATGGCAAGCGTAGACCAATAGTTCTGTGACTTCTTATTCGTAGTCCAGGTAAGTTATGAGCATCATGTATATATATATATATATGTATACATGCACATAAGGTCTGTATGGATGTATCTATCTATGTGTAATTTCAATGTGTACATACCTACACCTGGATCCACTTGCCATTCGCGTTTTGCATCGGCAGTTTAGACGACTGCATTCCCTTCTGCAGGCCCGACAGCTTGCCCCTGGAGAACCTGGCCTGACGGGTAGCACCGCGAAGCGACACCTAAAGCTGAAGCATCACCCAGGCTTATGCACATCCCTACATGGTTGTTGTTGGGAAACATTTTTCCCATTTTTGCTTATTGTGGTTTAGTGGTTGAAATCCAACCACTTAGCTGCTAAAATTTGAGAACTTTTGCTCCCCTTCCAACGTCGACCAAGCCTAGTCAAGATTGGTTTTGGAGATCTATGGGCCTTCCTGGCCTTCAAGTGCTGGTCGCCAAATTTTTCTCGCAGGCGTGTGGCATCCTTCGCTGGTTGACCTTGAGACATGTGAAGCTTGACATGAGATCTCCGTGGGCTTGTGAGTGCGATGTTGTGATGCTAGCAGCTTTTCATTGACTGAGTACATAGACCCAGACAACCATCATATATCAATCTCGCAGATTCGCGGCCAGAGCGCGCCACCCTCGATTCGTCCCTTGGACAAACCATTGAAGCTGGGAATAAAACGTCCAGATTATCTCCAGTAAACCTTTGCAGAGATGCGCCATGTCAGACGGCGCTTTGCTGCCAAAATGTGGCGGAGTCATTCCACCGCAAAAAGATCGGTCCGAAGCTTTTGGCCGGCGCATGGGATCCGAGCTCACCCATGAAGAAGCTGAAGGTTCGTGCATCTTTTGTTGGCTTTGCTCAACCTATCATTTCCCAGTGGTTTACGGAGGCCCGGTTTTTGCTGGGGCTTGCGGACAGCCTTTGGTCTTTGTAACATATTGCTTGCTCGGTCATGCAATCGCTTTCTTCGTTGCTTGTGGAAGATTGCTTGGACAACTTGAGCCCAGAGTCGTTGATTTGAACGGGTTCTTACTCGATGCATTGTACGCCGTGAGAAGTTGGTGTGGCTTTACAATGAGTTCATGAGTTGGGGGTCCATTCTCCATATTGATTTGTTTTTCAGCAATAATCCAGATCAATTCTGGCCTCAAGAGATCCACACAATACCAATTTAGTATTCAGTGAACCAACACTAAACTCTACACCACATTGGCAAGTGTCCCATTGTAAAAACTGTTCCTTGACCTTGCTGACTTTGAAGCCGGGGGTGGGTGTTTGGGGAGGGTGACCCCTGGGTTGTGAATGGGTATGAAATATATATATATATATATATAGACATATAATTTGCGCGAGGGCTGCGTCCTGGTCCAGAAAGGCAGAACATACCCCAAGGAATCTCGAAGAAAAGTCGAGCTCGTAATGGACCCATCTATAAAAAGGCTTTTGCCAGGGTTTTCATTTCCAGAGGCATCAACATCGGAGGCTGGGCAAGCCGCTCCATGCAAATGGGCGTGTCACAAGAGGGAGACCTCCTAAAATGGTGGTTTTCCAAAGGGGAAACCAGACCCTCAACAGGGCAATGCAAAAAACAAGTCACAAGCCCAAATGGTTCCAAAAAAAAAGAGGTTGGCTCCTTTTTTCCCGTTTATTTGGGGACCTTCAAAGAAAGCGACACCCCCTCACCGCCGACTCTCCGCCGGGAACGTAGCGTCGGTTCGGACCTCCGGGCCGGCGTCCGCCTCCCGACCGCCTCGGCGCCGGGCCGCGGCTTGGACTCGTCGGCTGGAGCGGCCGGGGGGTTTGGAGGCCTGAGGTTAAATTTCAGGGAAACCAACTAGGGATACAGGAAAAACCAGTTGGATACGGTTGAGGATTCCCCCGTTTGATGCACCTTAAGTTTGAGATGGGAAATGGCGCCAAGTTGGAATCCCCCCATATCCCCGCTCCCTCCGTATCCCTGCTTGTTCGTTTGTCCAATTAAACCCACACTTCCTCAGCTAAGGGATAGGTGAACGAGCTCACCCCAAGAGGTCGTCTCCTGAGGTTGAAAGTGAATTTCATAAGACAAAGGATTAGAGTGAGAGGTCCTTTCCTGAGGTCAAAATTACATTTCCTGAGTTTGGGCAAAACGGGGTGAGAGGTCCTTTCCTGGGGAGAAAGGCCTTCTTTCTCCTTTTTGGGGAGTTCTTGCGAGTGCTGGCAGCACCCGTTTGTTTGTGTTTTTGTTCCGCGGCGGTCAGACACGGCTTCAGCCAAGAAAAGAAAGAAACCACCGCCCCTTGGCACCCGAACGCAAGCACATGCCAGACAAGGGCGCGCGGCAGGGGCTTTGTAGTTTTCAGGGTACCCTTGTTGGGGTTGGTTTGAAAAGAACAAACAACAAGACATCTGGAAGCATCCATTTTTTCCCGGTCTCTGCAAGATAGGCTCTGGGTTGGTTCAAGGGGATTGGGGGTACCAACTGGCCCGTTTTTTTTTTTTTTTTTTTTTTTGTGGGGGGCGTGTCCTGTTTTGCAGCATCCCACTAATGCTAAACAATGCTGAACAAAGCAACACATAATCCCAAAAAGGGGCAAACACCCAGAATAGACACACAAAACCACCGATCCAAACCGCCAAACCAAACCGCCAAGCCAAGAGTTTTGAGGCAAAGAAAGCTAAGAACACTCCCTCAGACAAACCACCGGCAGCTGCTCCCAAAAAGGGCCTCCGTTGGAACCCAGTCGGCCCCCATTTCGGGGTCCCTTCAGAAGCTTCCGTCTGTGCGGGAGTGACAGAGGGCGGGCTTTTCGGCTTACCCCCAGTGAACATCCGATTCAATCCCCACTAAAAAGGTTCTAAAGTGGGTGGTGCACCTACCAAAATGGGTGGTGAATTCACCTACCAAAATGGGTGGTGAATTCACCTACTAAAATAGGTTCTAAAATGGGTGGTGAGTTCACCAATTCCAACCAACATGGGATCAACCACAACGGTTTTGACCACGGCCAAACCACGGCTGCCCGGCGATTCCTCAGGTGGGCGCCATGAGTTCGGCGGCTCTCGAGATCATGGGCCCGGGCTCTCAGCCTAAAAAGCAGCTTCCGGTGCGGGTGTTGAACAAGAAAGGCCGCGAGCCTGGGAAAACAAAGGCCCGCCAGAGAGCCCCTAGTCCCGAGGCCCAAATGCACCATGCGCTTTGACCGAACCTCATGGGCGCTAGGTACCAAGCAAACGCAAATGACAACTCGCACGATGCGAGCTCCACTGCCGCTGCGTAAGAAGAATAAGATCGGCGCGCGGCGTTTTTGCCTTAGAAGCGCCGGCGCCGCCGCTTCTCTCGCACCAGGGCGTTCTTTCACGCGCGTGCGAGTTGGGGGGCGGAGGCGGTTTCCAGCTGTTTGCTGATTGGCCTCCTCACTAGTGTGTTGGGTCTGCGGTGCTTTGTCTCTTGGGGCCCATGTGTTTCTTATATGTACACACTGTGAATACGATACATTGTTTACATGACCACATCATGAGCTTTTGTTTTCGTGCTTCGTGCTTGATTTTGTGGCCTCAACATTCTTGGTTGGCCTTCCGCAAGTACCAAAGTATCCACAGATGTGGCGAGGGTGCCTGCTTGCATATCCGGTGCGATGTTTTGGTTGCCTTGAGCGCTGCTCAAACTCCTTGGTGGACTAAGAAATCACTTCATGGCGAGCAGATTGACAACTCGTCCGAAACTTGCCTGTGCGATAAGCAGGGAATGAGAATTGGAATGACCCCAAAAAAACCATCCCCCATGTGGTTTTCTTATTCGGGAATCCCCAAACGGTTCATTCCATTCCTCATTCCCTGCTCGCACCAGCAAGACAATCGCCTTGGAAGCGCTTTTCTCGAGGCGCACGTTTCCGCAGTTCTCCGCGCCTTTTTCGGCCCTTTCCCTTTCTCCTGATTCAGGGGCCATCTCTGGTGGTCCTTTTCACAATTTCCCCCTTTTTTCCTCATTTTCCAGGGGCAGTCTTTGCCCCTATTTTTTTTTGTTACTATGTCCGACTATGTCCTCTTTCTTTTTTTGCGGCGGGGGGGGGGGGCACTTCTGGCCTCGCCACGCCACGCCCTGCCGAGGCATCTCGGACCAATCCAGCCGCCTGAGCTTGAAGAAGGCCATGGAGCAGTTCGGCGAGGTGGGAGGGACGGCGGGGGATTTCCATTTTAGGTCCCCCAGTAGTGCCCTTCTACCCATTTTTTGGGCGGGTTCCCCTACTAAAAAATACCACAGGAAAAAGGGTACCTTTATTCTAACCTCTCTAATTACTGGAGGGGTGGATTTGGCTGTGGTGGTTGCAAAACCAATGGGATCCCATTTTTGTTGGTTGGTGAATTCCCCACCCATTTTAGTCGGGTTTTTTTGTGGGGATTGGGATGTTCACTGGGGGTACGGGATTTTGACTCATGGCCATTTGTCTGGGACAACCTGCAGCCCAAGGTGTTGTTTTTACTGGCTCCAGATGGGTGCTGGGCACATCCCTACTGCGGCAAAAGAAAAAAAGAAATGCCACTTGTCATACCATGCGTCGTTGGCCAGGGTTTCTTCCATTTCCGTTTCTGTGCAGGCCTCCAAAAGCGGCGGAAAGCCGGTGTTCTTTGTGGGCACCCCATTTTGGTTGGATTTTGAAGGGAAGCCTAAAGGGCATCAACCAAGTTTGGTGCAGCAATTGTTTTGAGACAAATCAACCCCTCCGATCTGGGCCACTGGCTCCATAGAGCAGGTAAAATGGAGGTAACGAAAGAGGAGTTTGGGGCTAGAAACAAAGACACTCATGGACAAAAACTGCTTGAGAGCGAGCGGGATGCACCTGAATGAACGTCAAGCCCAGATTGCGGGCTTTGTTCGCCATTTCGCAGTGGCTATTTGAAGGGAAGAAAATGAAGGGAAGAGACGTCACTGGAAGGAGTTGGGAGTGGTTCAGGGCTTGCATTTTACGGCACGCCTTGAACAAGAATCAGTGAAGACATAGTGTTGACCCAGCCTGGCGGATGCGGGGTGAAGCTCCCGTAAAAGTGATTTGGATCCCCTCCAAAAATGGGACCCCCCTAATAGGAATCAACCAGGGCACGATTCCTGGATTCATGGCAGAGCAACTTTCACGGAATAGAGAAGTTCGCAAAGAGGCTATCCCCTTTCCATCTCTGGCTCCTTCTGCTTCGCCCGGCGGCTTCTTCCCATCTGGAGATGGTCTTCCCCTTATGGACGCCCCTGGACGCCGCTTTTTGGTGCCTCCTGCGAGTCCGAGTCCGGGTTCAGGTCGTCGGCTGCCACATGGGATCCAGGGGGGTGGACAACCCCATCGTACGCTACAAGACCCAGGACGCGGGGAGAGAGAGACCCGCGGGGACACAAGTGGCGGGCTGCCCTTGGAACCATTTGATCTCCATGTATTAACATTACAGTAAGCACCATTTCGAGGTTTGCTACTGAGGACGTATTTTGGTTGCCCAGTTTGGCGCCATGCTGTTGTTCACAGTTCAAAGGGGTGAAGCTGCAAACGGTCGCCCGCTCACCTTGTCCTGCCCGACAGTTGAACAGGACCTTGTAATCGTCAAGAACCATTTAGAGAAAGTTTGCTCCAGGCACAGAATACTTTAAAATGATAGCGATCCGGCGTCCGCTCCCATATCTTTGCGATCGTTGTTCTTGATTCCCAAAAGGGCCGGCACGGGTTGTCTCCCTCAGCGCATTGATGTGTCTCGGGTCGGGGTGACTGCATGGCCGGCACGGGGTCCGCAAGCCGGAATCTGGACAAATACATTTGGCGGTTGTCTCGTTGGTCGTTGCAGGGTGTGCGGCGAGCCGGAGTTTTCTTCGAACGCATGTGCCACCCACCCAGCTAAAGGCATTCATGTGCCTTCCAGGTGGGCAATTGTCACGGGCGGTACGCATAAGCTACCTGATTTTGTCATCTGATGGATTGAGAATCTGAGCGAACTCATTTGGCTCCCAGCTAAGATTCATTTGGTTTACAAATTCTTCAGGGCGAGTCGAGGGCGATGGCCGTCACCAAAAGCATCGCCTTAATCCCCTACAGTCATGAGTGCACGTGGGTCGTGGGGGTTCGGCTAGGCCGGCAGAGATCGAGCATTAAAAGCCGTTCATTTGTCGCTTTGTTTTGTCGGGACCTGAGGGGTAGGTGGTGCGAATAGGCCAACAGCTTCATTGGTTTCGCAGGTGCGCAAGCACAGCTGTCCTTTTTAGGATAGTTTGGCTAGAAATAGTTAGCCCTGGCTTGGATTGGTTTTGTTCCATCTATTTCACCAAAAGGACCCCTATGTGCACAATTCCTTTTGCCCTGCAAGGTCTTGAGGGCCAACAAGGGTCTGGGTTTAGGCTGCATGGCTGCGGTTTGCGGCAGCCAGGTGACTTCATTTCCCTCAGTCTTCAGGGTTCAGCAAACTCCCTCGTTTTCCTGCAACTGCTTTTTTCGCAGGGTCTGGGAATGCTTGATGTTCTGGGTTCCAGGGACACTGGGGGCAACCAAGAGCAAGTTCACTGGTCCTCTGTTGGCGATGTTTGGTGAATTTGTGCCCCAGGTTCCCAGGGTCGGCGATGCTCTGCGAGCTGTTTGGGGTCCGCTTGGGTCGTCGCGGGCTGTGTGTCAAAACTAGGAATCCCGGGAGTCAAGATGACACCATGCGCTTGGCCTGCCAGTAGCACATTTGAGATAGGATTGCCTTTTTTTCGTGCATCTACATCTCGACCTCCGCCTTGCAGCTGGGGCGGCGCGGCGTCTCGCTCGACAGGAGTTCGCCCAAGCAGCGCTAGACGCCCTCAAGGCTGGGCAGGTGCGAAGGGCCGACGGCCGACGGGCCGAAGGGTCGACGGGCCGAAGGGCCGGGGGGATTTGACGCCTTGGAGAGGGTTGAAGCGTGCCCACCCAAAAGCGCATGGGCTGTTTTTGAACGGCTAGGAGGAAGTGCTGTGGCAAGCGCCTTGCACGCACAATCGGGTTCGATAATGCCCCAGTTTTCCTGGATTTGTTCTTCAAATGTGCGACCAATGGAAGTTCTTTGTTGATTTAGCAGAGCTGACCAGTAGTCACACTGTTTAGCCGATCAAAGGGGGTCATTCAAACTCATTTCTCCCTATCGAACCTGCAGCTACATTTTTGAACACATTGTGTCCAAAGGTGTGGCTGGACGGAATGATCCTGAAGGGCGAGTCGGGAACCCAAGCGGCCTTGCCCGAGAGCCGATTTGGGGCCGGCCACGTGGGAAGTCCGCCTGCGTTTGCTTGCTTGTAACATGAGTGTTGGTGCGATGTACGTCCACCAGTTTTGAAGCCGTCGAAACTCGATCCGAACCAGCACTCCAAATATCCACCCAGCCCAGTGGTGCCCTTTTTACCTTTTTTGGGAAGGGCTTCCCTTTAAAATCAACCAACCCAAAAAAAGGATGCCGTTTTTCTCCCATGGTTACTGGGCATCTGAGTCCAGCTGGAGCTCTCCGAGTCGATCTGGGGGCCTCCGAGGTGGAAAGGCTCCTCCAGACCTCCAGGTCCTCCGCCGGCTGTGGCGGCCAGGAACGAGGCCGAGAGATGTTTCGTTGGGAGAAAAGAACCAGCGAGGTGTCAGTTGGGCTGACAACGTTCAACATCGGTTTGTTGGCTTAGGTTGCACTGGGCACTGGTGAAAAAGCCGGAGTTAGGATCAAGATTGAGGCTGGCCGTGTGTCTCGGCCCAGTTTGGACCCTCTCAAGGCAGAGCACGGATACCCAGAAAAGGTTCAGAAAGCATTTCGGATCACTCGTTTTGGCGACAAGACCGAAAGACGTTGACAACACAAGCAATTCAAACCCAGTCACAACAGGTTGTTGCCATGAGAAGGTCAGACTCAGCACGATGCCCTTGTTTGGTTTCAGTGATGTCGACAGGCTTTTGCAACTGTTTACGAGCTGCTTGATTCAACCTTTGATTTGCGAGGAGTCTCCCGGGATCAATATGATACTATCCCTTGCTGACGGGTAGCGCGGTTTATGACAGTTGGACTCTTGAATTGGCGTGCGTTGCTGTCGGCCTCTGTCGGGCTAACCGCTGCCGCCGGCAGCCACCATCATACCCTCTTGTCCTGGCATCAGGTTTGACTGTCTTTGACAGATCAGTGTGAATCGCATGTATATTTCGAACACGCCAGAGTTGATGCATAGAGGTCACTAACAATTCATGCACACTTCCCACATTACCTGTGTATTTGGTCTTCCAACAAGGTGTGTGTCTGTGTCTCTGTGTGTCTCTGTGTGTCTCTGTGTGTCTCTGTGTGTCTCTGTGTGTCTCTGTGTGTCTCTGTGTGTCTCATGTGTCTCTGTGAGTCTCTGTGTGTCTCTGTGTGTCTCTGTGTGTCTCTGTGTGTCTCTGTGTGTCTCTGTGTGTCTCTGTGTGTCTCTGTGTGTCTCTGTGTGTCTCTGTGTGTCTCTGTGTGTCTCTGTGTGTCTCTGTGTGTCTCTGTGTGTCTCTGTGTGTCTCTGTGTGTCTCTGTGTGTCTCTGTGTGTCTCTGTGTGTCTCTGTGTGTCTCTGTGTCTCTGTGTGTCTCTGTGTGTCTCTGTGTGTCTCTGTGTGTCTCTGTGTGTCTCTGTGTGTCTCTGTGTGTCTCTGTGTGTCTCTGTGTGTCTCTGTGTGTCTCTGTGTGTCTCTGTGTGTCTCTGTGTGTCTCTGTGTCTCTGTGTGTCTCTGTGTGTCTCTGTGTCTCTGTGTGTCTCTGTGTGTCTCTGTGTGTCTCTGTGTGTCTCTGTGTGTCTCTGTGTGTCTCTGTGTGTCTCTGTGTGTCTCTGTGTGTCTCTGTGTGTCTCTGTGTGTCTCTGTGTGTCTCTGTGTGTCTCTGTGTGTCTCTGTGTGTCTCTGTGTGTCTCTGTGTGTCTCTGTGTGTCTCTGTGTGTCTCTGTGTGTCTCTGTGTGTGTGTGTGTCTGTGTCTGTGTCTGTGTGTGTCTGTGTCTCTGTGTCTGTGTCTGTGTCTGTGTCTGTGTCTGTGTCTGTGTCTGTGTCTGTGTCTGTGTCTGTGTCTGTGTCTGTGTCTGTGTCTGTGTCTGTGTCTGTGTCTGTGTCTGTGTCTGTGTCTGTGTCTGTGTCTGTGTCTGTGTCTGTGTCTGTGTCTGTGTGTGTGTTATATATATATATATACATATATATGCATATATGCGTGTGGGCGCCGCTGTACCTGCGACGGCGCAGGGGCGTGCACTTGCTCGCAAATGCGAACCCTGGCATCGCCTTTTCACATTCTCGCTAAAGCGTTGGTTCCATGCCTTAAACCGTTTGACAACCCTAACCCAGGGACATCCGCTATTACTAGACTGGTGTTGACTAATATGGGGTCAACGTCATATTGTTTGTGCGTGCCGCATGAAAATTCTTGTTCAGATGGCCGAACTATTGCCAGGCTTGAGGTTTCTTGCGAGCTCCGGCTTGAGCTTTTCTGAACTAAAAGGCTTGACTTCTCCTTCCCTAAGGGTCAGGACCCTTTCAATGCAGATCCTCGGACCCTGCAACCCCTCAAGGGCCCTGAAAAACAACCCATTTTGGGGGCCCAAAATCAATCGCGACCCTTAGGGTTAGGCAAAACTGTTCTTTTCGGAGGGTCGTGACTTGATGCGGTTCTGGGTATGGTTTGAACAGGACTGGGGCTGAACCCGACCTCGCAGGCTGCGCTGGATTTGACCAGCAGAGACATCTTCTCCACGCGGAAGAGCCGTAGCCGAAAGAGGTGGGGCGCGATATGGAGTTGGTATGGCTGCTGGGCTTGGCATCTTACGGTTGGCGAAGACCGAGCCTTCAACAAGATTCTTTGGACGTCTCCAAAAAGAGTGAATTTTTGGCGGCCTTCCGTTTTTGGAAGGAGCATACATGCCAGTTTGACGGATTTCTCCCGGTGCTATGTTTGGATTGAACACTGGTACTCCTTGCCGCCCTTGCAGTGGCCCAAAAGAACATTTTCTGATTTCTGGTTCGTCATTGGTTCGCCATGCCGCATTTGTCCAAAATAGCATGTGGCCATGGGTCAAAATCCCGAACCCCAAGTGAACATCCCAATCCCCACTACAATAGACTAAAATGGGTGGTGCACCTACCCCAAAATGTTACCATTGGTTTTGGCCCACAGCCATATTGACTTCTGGTCAAGCACCGCATTTTCCATGATTCGCCAGAAACAACCCGCTTTTTGTTGCCAAGATTAAACCGACGGCCGTCCTCGCCCTTTTGGTGCCAGGCGGAGCCGCAGCCGACGGCGAAGGACGGGACCGGGACTCGCCGCGGGGGAGGTCTCAGGAAGGATCTGCCCGCGTGGTTTTTCGTTGCACGGCCTCAAAGTGGGGCAACCGGCTTACCCTCCCACCAACGATTCCATGGTTTGGTGCACAGAAAGACGACTTTGATGGAAAGGGCTTTGTGCACTTTCATGTTGGGTGGTGGGAGGGTAAACCGATTCAAAGATGGATTGAGATTGTACGGTCCTAGGTTTCTTGTTTCCAAGGTTGGGTGAAGATGGCCCTTTGTGCCCCAGTGGCTTCATCATCCTCGACAGAGAAGGAATTGCGGCCGTCCACAGCATGGAAGCCTCAATGCTTTACTCTTGCTCATGGCTTTTCCTTTTGGGGTTCCTCTTAAACCATCCGTGCCGGCCCTTTTCAACCACCAACACATGCTGGAAAACGGACAAACTACTCAAACATGATGGGGGAAGGGGTGCAGACAAACTACTTAACCCCCGAAAAACGGGAACACGGGCTCACCCATAACCCCAGAAACCGCGGAGAATGGCGCCAGGCGCAGCCCCAGCCGCAGCCGCAGCCGAAGGCGGCGCCGAGACTAGGCCGGCGGCTTCACCCTCACGGTGGCTGGTGGGTTGGTCAGGGGAGCAACACACTTTCCCACACACACACACAGACACACACACACAGACATACGCAGACACAGACGCACCCAGACACAGACGCACAGACACACAAAGACACACGCACACAAACACACCCATACACACACACAGTTCAGCACACACAGTTCAACACAAACACAGGCAAGCAAGCAAGCAAGCAAGCAAGCAAGCAAGCAAGCAAGCAAGCAAGCAAGCAAGCAAGAAAGCAAGCAAACAAGCACAGAGACACACAGAGACACACAGAGACACACAGAGACACACAGAGACACACAGAGACACACAGAGACACACAGAGACACACAGAGACACACAGAGACACACAGAGACACACAGAGACACACAGAGACACACAGAGACACACAGAGACACACAGAGACACACAGAGACACACAGAGACACACAGAGACACACAGAGACACACAGAGACACACAGAGACACACAGAGACACACAGAGACACACAGAGACACACAGAGACACACAGAGACACACAGAGACACACAGAGACACACAGAGAGACACACAGAGACACACAGAGACAGACACACAGAGACACACAGAGACACACAGAGACACACAGAGACACACAGAGACACACAGAGACACACAGAGACACACAGAGACACACAGAGACACACAGAGACACACAGAGACACACAGAGACACACAGAGACACACAGAGACACACAGACACACAGAACAGACACCCCTTCTTTATTAGAAGTTAGAGCCCCTATAGCTTTCCGCTATCTGGGGAATGAAAGGGTCCCAGTTCGCGAAACATACCCATAGAGGCCTCCTGTGGTCCACGCACCGCGGCAGGTGGGAGGTGAGCTCACAGGCAGAAAAGCGAAAAGCCAAACCACGGCCAGCCCCGCCGGTCAGGAGGATGAAGGCGAAAGCTTTAGTTGACGATGTGCGGCGTGTCGTTGACATTCATTTAAGGTCCGTGTGGGATGGTCATGAGACTCTAGGGATGATGATCTAAGGAGTTGAACAGCCATGCGAGAGGCCCGAGAGTGTGACTGCCAGGCGAACAACCGGTCCGCGGTTCCCGGTCTCATGCGCGGCCTGCGGGCTGCGGTCGAGCCGCGTGAGCCGCGCGAGCCGCGTGAGCCGCGTGGGCCTGGGGCGGTTCCCCTCCGTTTCGGGGACTATGAAACTTAGCCCGGAAAGGGCGAACTTGAACAGACTCTTTGCCCCAAAGCTTGGAGGGCCCCGGAATGCGCCTATGGCTCCAAGGGCGCCAGGCAAAGGCGTGCGCGAGCCGATGGGCCGAGAGTGACAGGAAAGCTGGCCCACAACGTCAATTCTACCAAAGCATCGGGACGGTGGAGCCCCAATGGGGGATCGTGCTCACGTACGTGAAACCATAGTGCTTGGAGGTTGGCTCCCCTGAATCACCTTCAAGAAGAACTGCCAAACGACAACTCTATCTGATTGGATGTGCATTTGAACTGCAATCCCGAATTACTTGCGCACATGTTACAGTTGGGCGCAAAAGTAGATGGCACAAAACCCCATGTTTTGATGAGTTTGGGTTGAATCATCCAATCCGCTTGAGAATTGTGCCATCTAGCTTTACCCTGGTACTACTGGGCAACTGTGACTTGGAAAATCGATGGTTGAACGGCCTCACGCTCAACGCTCTCGGCCGCGGGTCTTCGACTGATCTTCGATGGGCGTTCAGTGCCGGCGGAGTGTCGAGAGGCGAGCTGAGGCGTGAGAGCAGACGAGGGAAGTGGTCCAGGAGCAGTTAACAGCATTTGTTCTTTCTTGGATCTTCATTTGCAAGCTGTTGAGCTCAGTGTGGCTCATTGAGTGTGAAGGCCCATGCTTCTCTTTCTCCACAGGGTTCGCCATTAAAAAACTGTTCTGCTTTCCTTCAAGCACCTCAGCTTCTAGAGACGTGAGTGGTGCGTGGGAGGGAAATAGCGCGCCCCAGCGCCTTGCTTGTTTCATAGGGGCTCGAGAAACCTCACTTGTGGAATCTTGGAGCAGGCCAGTCCCGTACAAGAAGGGCGTGTCGCGTGGCCGTGCCCGGCTTTGAACTCGTGGGAATCCTAAAGCGAAGCCACTCCGTTTGGTGCGGCGTGCCAACATCAACGGCATGGGCCTTTGGATCACAGATGAACCTTGCCTCTTGGTGCAAACTGTTCGTACCCAATGGCGGTTCCACATGAGCAGTTCTTTTCGGCGGCCAGCACACCGCAGTTCAGCGGCGCCACTCAGCTGTGTCATGCGCGCCTTCGGCTCGTTGCTTGGCTCAGCCGACTGGTGCAGAGGAATGCTCTATCCCTATGGAAGACATCCACACTTTGAGTCCATTCTCCGCAGAAAGCCTGGCGACAGCAAGAGACGCGCAATCCGGCAATCCGCATCTTCGATTCCCGCGTTCGATTCTCATTTGCCGGCCTTCGCCGCACCTTCGCCATGGAGGGCCCTGGCAGGGAGGCTCAGATTGCAAGGACCCGGAGATTCCGAAGATAAATCCAGACAATAAACAGTAGATCCCTAGGCCTTTACGATTATATTATATATTTTTTCAACTAGCGTATGAAATGATATACTAAAATGATAGAATCGAAATAATGTAAGTCTAGCGTTTGTCGTTCAATGATTTATCGTTTTTCCGCTTCTGTTGAATGATTCCCCGCTCCATTCCTCGCTCTTGTCCCGAGCTTCTAGCATGCACATTATGACCAAAGAAGAAGTCAATCAACGTCCGGCTGTTACCAAAGGCTTCACTGCTTTTGGCGCTGCACTCTTACCCAGTACATGTTTTGTGTTTCTTTGCCATTGGAGCAGCGGCTTTTGCCATCGAGGCCACGAGTGTGTGTCCAGATCCGCTGCAGCGGCCATCCTCTTCAGAGCTTCAGTGACATTTTGGACTTGCAGGGATGGCACTTCGGGTGTAGACACGTCTTGCGTAAGTAGAGAAGCAACAGGGGACATGCAAACTAAGATGGAGCCCGAAGCCAAGATCCCAACTTCAACAGGCGATTTTTTTTTAGCGGGCGATTGAGGCGCGCGGCGAGTCCGCCATGTGGTGTGCTGGCCCCGGTATGTGATGTGGGATATCAGGTGGAGCAAAGCCGCGTGTCTGCGTTCCTCCCACTCACGTGGTATTTGTGGGAGGGTACCAGGAAGATTATTCTCCTCCCATCTTAGTGGGAAGGAAGGCATTTCAAACAAGAGTTAAGCTACGCTGTGTGACCTAGGAATGCCACCCACTGTAGCAGAGGCATGCCGCGGCTACGCGCGTTCACAGAGAGCACATACGGAAACCGCACACACACGCTGCTCTATTGGCGCTAGAGGACAAAGCCCTAGCTTCTCGCCAAAGAACAGGACCACTTCGTTTCGCCGCTTTCGGCCTGGCACCACGTCTTGGAGTCGATTGTGGCCTTGGGTCAGATTGGTTATAATGGTCAAATCGTCTACTGTGAAGTCCATCAAAGCTTTCCAAAAGGAGCCCTAGGCTCACAGTACTTTCTTGAGCAAAAGAGGCTAGAAGAACGTGGGGTGCAGATCCAGCCATCAGCCAGGGGCGGCAAACCAGTGTTCACGTCAGGTGCCCCCAAGTTTGGTGGCTTGGCTTGGGAAACCACCGGAAGCTCCGGGCTCCAAAACCAGGACCTTTTTCAAGGGAAGCTGAGTGACATGTTCTTTCTTTCCAATGGTTTTCCCACTACACCTTGGGATTACGCCCTCTGGGGAATCACCCTATTCCAGGCTATTTCCAAATAACACAACATTGTTTTTGTTTATTTAGAGTTATTTTGGGCAGCTAGGGTGTAATCCCAGGGTGTAGACAAATCCGAGTCTTAATCCACCCGGAAGCTCCGGGCTCCAAAACAAGGGAAGCTGGGTGTGTTCTTAGCTCACTGAGAGCCCCCCATTTCGGGGGCCCTACCTCGGAGGCAGCACCTCCTGGCCGCCCCAGCGTCCTCGGCGCCGCGCCGCTTTGAGGGCCAGGCGAGCGTCGCGACCGATCGGCTTCCCAATGGAAGTGAGGCACCGTCACGGTGGAAACCAACCAGAGGAGATGGGTCCAGCCGAAAGAGAACCAAACCAAGTCCACTCCACTGTTCTTGCCTAAGGGTTTTTGTGTTACAGCCTGGGAATACACTGGGTATTGACCCCATTTAGGCACATTTCCGGATAAAACCGTGTTGTTTTAAACCATTCTGGGTCATTTTGCCAAGGGTGTAGTCCCAGGGTGTAGTACAAAAACCCTCAGAACCGTGGAAACCAACCAGAGGAGGTCGGTCCAACCGAAAGAAGACAAAACCCATTTATGGGTGTGTCGTTTGTCGAGGCGCCCCTTTGTCGTGATTTTGAAAAAGCGGAGCCACAAGGAAAGCCACCTGTGATCCAATGTGGGTGGGACATGGGGGACTCGCTGAATGTCGCACAAAAGCCAGGACTCGCAGCATACATTGTGACCATGGCTCAAGTGGGCATGTGTCAAACAAAGGAACCTTTGAGTGTGTGTGTGTGTGTGTGTCTCGGCAAGGCAAGCACAAGCAAACTAAGCCTTCTCCATTTGACCCACACTCAGCCTTCAATGGCCGGCCTGGCCTTTGTGCTTGGCTGCTGGTGCGATCTTGGAGCATTTTCATATTCATCATGTTGGACCTCGGTTGAGGTGTTGTGCGAGGTATCGACTTGTTCTTGCCCAATGGACGTGACATGAACTCGCTGTGGTGACAGCGGGCATGCCTCAAACTGTGGGTGTGGGTCAAAATGAAACCACCAGGAATTGGAATTGGACCGCAGGTTTTCGTCCTTCCATTTTACCAGGCTTTCAGTTGGGGTACCTATTGACCCACAGCCGTGTGAGCGGGGTGATCGATGGTCGGCCAGGTGTGCATCGTCACCGGGGGCGCGCAGGAGCGCGGAGAAGCGGGAGCAGCCTCACTCAGTCGGTTTGGGGAGAGAAATGGTGGATCTTCCCTGAGAATCAGGAATCCCACTTGAAGATGTTGGCTTTCCCCATTTTTTCTGGGGTTTTGCCCGCATTTTCCAGGTTGGTTTGTGCGCGACGCGATTTTTTCGGTTTTCCCAATTTTCCATTAGGTTCCAAGCAGTTCTTCGTGTCCACGTCCTCGCGTTTTTTCGAGGGCATCGGCCGCGCCATCCTGCAGCGCCTGGCGAAAGAGGGGGCCCGTGCCGTGCCCGAACGCCCGGAGCGTCGTATGGCGAAGGTCGCGGCCGCCAAATCGGCTTCGGCTTTTTCTTTACTAGGTCCCCCAGTAGCGTCCTTTTACCCTTTTTTGGGAGAGGGTTCCCCTACTAAAATAGACTACAGAACAAAGGGTACCCTTGTTCTAACCTCTCTTCTGGAGGACCTAGTTTAGGTCCTGAAAGAAACAAACCCCCCAAGAGTGGGGACCCAGACAGAAATTCTCAAAGTGGGTTCCCCCCAACCATTTTAGGGGAATCTTTGCAGAAGCACCAAAATAGGGGCCGAGCCCGGGATCCAACATGGCCTTCCCTTTTGGTCTCCCTTGAAACCCAGAAAAGGAAGACCCCTCAGAAAGCGACCAGGGCTCCCCTCAAGACAGAACCCGAGATCGGCTTCTTTCGCCTGAGAGTCAGAGACCTGTGGATGGATATGGATATTCAGCCACATCAAGCCCTATTCATGACAGTAGACCACGTTTCAAGGCGGGTAGCTTTGTGTCTGATTGTGGTTGCATGCTCGGCGGATTTAGCTTGTTTGGCTGTCGCATACGACACTCTTGCCGATGCTCAGCAGGGGATGACCCAGGGCGTTGGGAATGAACCGTTTTGGGGTTCCCTCAGAGGAAACCAACCATAGGGGATGGTTTTTCTTGGGCTCATTCCAACTCATTCCCTGCCTATCGCACCAGCAAGTCTTGTTAAGCATTGTTTGTGAGCACAGCCCCTAAACCCACCCCAATCGCAACCCAACACTGTCCCAACTGCAGAATCAAGCTGAGCCATGCTGCACACACCACCTGTTGGGTCTCCAGGAGAAAACAAGAAAACAACAAAAACACTGAACAAAACAACAAAACAACAAAGAAAGCAACAAAACAACAACACAACACCGAACAAAAGTACGTTTGATTCTGCACTCCGAGACGAGGCTCTTGGGCTTCCGGCTTGCTTCGATCGAATGTTTGTGCGTGTGCCAGAAACGACAGATGTATGTGCGGCGAGCCAGCAGAACATGTCTTGAAGGTGCTAGCTCGAATGTGCTCAAACGGAGGTGGCCATGTTTCCATCGGCTCGCTTGTTAAGTGGGCAACAATGGCCCATGTTCTGCCCATCTCCCCCCCAAAAAAAGACAAACCAGGTAGGGTCTTTTTTCACCCAACCAACCAAACCAGGTGGGTTTTGTTGTCACCCAAACAACCAAACCAGGTAGGGTCTTTTTTCACCCAACCAACCAAACCAGGTGGGTTTTGTTGTCACCCAAACAACCAAACCAGGTAGGGTCTTTTTTCACCCAACCAACCAAACCAGGTGGGTTTTGTTGTCACCCAAACAACCAAACCAGGTAGGGTCTTTTTTCACCCAACCAACCAAACCAGGTGGGTTTTGTTGTCACCCAAACAACCAAACCAGGTAGGGTCTTTTTTCACCCAACCAACCAAACCAGGTGGGTTTTGTTGTCACCCAGGTAGGGTCTTTTTTCACCCAACCAACCAAACCAGGTGGGTTTTGTTGTCACCCAAACAACCAAACCAGGTAGGGTCTTTTTTCACCCAACCAACCAAACCAGGTGGGTTTTGTTGTCACCCAAACAACCAAACCAGGTAGGGTCTTTTTTCACCCAACCAACCAAACCAGCTGGGTTTTGTTGTCACCCAAACAACCAAACCAGGTAGGGTCTTTTTTCACCCAACCAACCAAACCAGGTGGGTTTTGTTGTCACCCAAACAACCAAACCAGGTAGGGTCTTTTTTCACCCAACCAACCAAACCAGGTGGGTTTTGTTGTCACCCAAACAACCAAACCAGGTAGGGTCTTTTTTCACCCAACTAACCAAACCAGGTGGGTTTTGTTGTCACCCAAACAACCAAACCAGGTAGGGTCTTTTTTCACCCAACCAACCAAACCAGGTGGGTTTTGTTGTCACCCAAACAACCAAACCAGGTAGGGTCTTTTTTCACCCAAATAACCAAACCAGGTGGGTTTTGTTGTCACCCAAACAACCAAACCAGGTAGGGTCTTTTTTCACCCAACCAACCA